CAGCACTAGCAAGTTAGCTGAAGCTGATTCAGCACAAGTTTGATCCCTGCTTAGGGAGGTGGCCCCCATGACACAGCAGACCTCTCTTGTCCACCCACTTCTCCCATCAGTCCCATCTGTTCTGTTCCACACTCTGTCTCTGGTAAATTCTTTCACCACCACAATACCTCTGGCCCGCACCCCAGTTCTATATTGCTTAAGTAAATAAATCTTAAAAAAAAATGGCACTATCATCCTGGCATAGAATCTTGTCCTTCAGGACCCTTCCTGGTGGCAAAATGGGTTGGAGCGCTGCGCTGAGAAGCTAAGCCAAGCCATGGACACTTCAGTGTGAGTTAGATCCATTCCTAGGTAACTCACATGTCACAGCAGACCTCTCCTGGCTCACCCACTGCTTCCCTCAGCAGTGTATTTCCTCTGTCTGCTCTGTTCCCCACTCTGTCTCTAGTGAATCCTCTTGTTGCCCCTGCACCTCTGGCCTGTATCTCCTTTCTGTATGCATAAATAAATAAAATCATAAAAAAACTTGTCCTTCAAGGCAATTGTCACAATCAATTTGTATATACATATATAGATAACACACAGAAATACACAGATAGGTAGCATACACACACATACTGTTGTATTAGGTATTGAGTATACAGAGATGAGAGATGAACAACGTATCTATGTCTATATCTGTATCTAATCTACATATTGAATACCTAATTGTCAGGGACTGCCCAGGCCACTGGCTGTCAGAGGGCAAAACAGGCAGAGATTCCAAAAAGGGGGAAAGGGGAGTGGGCATGGGAGTTGGATGCAAGTCTTCCTGCTTATCATTTTAGCAGGTCTTTATTTATACTGTTTAGCAAGTTGTTAGTTATAATAATGCATCAGCATAAAAGTTCTAAAGGAAGAGGGGAACAATGCATCTTCTTCCTGACACTATGGCATACTAGACTATACCTATTTGTGATAACTTTCATGTATATGGCTGTTTAACTATGACTTCAAAAGGTAAGGGGGCTGGGAAAGGATGAGCTGTTAGCAAAGGATTTAGGTGTCCTAGGAAAGGAATAAATTGTGTTAGCAGAGTCATCAGTGATTGTCTAAAGAGAAGTTAATTGCTAACTTAAGGCTAGCAAAGAGTAGCTAGTGTTTGTTTTAGGAAAAGGTTAATTAAGAGTAGTTAGAGATTGTTTAAAAAAAGGGTAAATTAAGTCACATAGTTATGCATTAAGCAAAACCTGTGTCAATAATGTTAGGAAATTGTCCATGGGTCCTTATGCCCTGGGAGTTTTATCAGAGGTTTGCTTTTTGTTTCAAAAGACCAAGGAAGCTTCCCAGGAGTCTTAATGCTCTGGGGGTCTTATCTCTTCTGGAGTTTGCCTTTTGTCTCCCAACACAGAGGAATTTCCTGCCCTGGGGTGCTGTACTTTGCCCGGGCCAGGTAGCCAATTTATGAAGCTAAGGCAAGCTAGTTGCAAACTGATGGTTGCTCAGAATATTTCTGAAATTATGATTATACAAAAAAGGGAGGTCATAACATAAGTTAGCAATGGAAATTCTGATTTTTCAGAGCTTTTCCCTTCACCTGGAATTTGTTGGTTGACAGAAGTTGCATAGCTTGTGTCACCTAATAGAATAGTTGGCACACAGTTGGCACACACCACAATGCATATTTGTTAAAAGAGTGAATTTTGACAGCTCCTGGGAAAAATTAGACTGCAAATGTGGCAATACTGTAGGTTCTGACAGGATTGGAAATAAGACTTTTGTACATGGGGATAAAGTGGAAAAAGTTATAAGGGGATGGTCAGAGGTCTTGTGTTATCACTGCATAATACAACAAGAGGGTCAGTCCATTCACTCACTCATAGTTAAAAGGGAGTTAATAGGGATGCAGTTAATAGGGAGAGAGAAGGTCCCAAACAATAATTTACTTTCTTCTACATGATTTCATTGATCACTGGGTCATTTGGTTTTTCTCATGGGACTGGTTCTATGTTCTTTCCTGATTCCATGTTGGACAGAATTACATAAGGGTGTGAATACCATAAGGGAGGGATCACTGGGGCCACCTCAGATACTAGCTAATGCGGAAGAGTTAGAAGAAGTTGAAGAAGCAAAGTTTTAAGACTTGGAGAAGGGAGACGGAGGAGACATTATCTGGATGCTTATTATAGACCAACTCCTTTATATCCAGTTATATTTAGTAATCTTTTTCATAGCATATTAAGGAATAGAAGCAAAGAAAAATAAGTGTACAAAAGCAAATGCAGTTAATAGCAGAGTCTGGATTTGTACATTTTTATGTGTGCCACTAATGCTGAACTATTACATTTAGTATGTTCAAAAGGGTGAGCTATGTGTTCCTGGTACAGTAATTTGTTACTATAGAGAAACAGCATTAAATAAAATTGGAAGTATAAAAATTAACTGCTTTTCAATCTTCTGAGTATGTCAAGAGATAGTCTGAAAGATTTATGCTGTTATGTAACTCTTATTTATTTCTCCCTCTTTTTTCCAATAATGCATCTTAAAAATATATCACAAATAGGTCTGAAGACTCATTCAATATCTTGCTATTTCTGTAGCTGGACAATTTAAATCTTATTCATCAGCCTGTTGAACTGTTCCTTTTTCAGAAACATAGATACCATCCCCAAATTTCCTGATATCCTTGTTTTTAACTGTTGTAGCTTTCTGAATTTGATACAAGTGCAATGTCTTTTTTTTTGGCATAGAAGAACAGAGTTGTAGGGCCCTCCCTGGTGGCCCAATGATTAAAACACTGGGCTACGAAGCTAGCCACAGATGCTTCAGCTGGAGTTGGATCCCCCACCAGGGAGATGGCCCACATGGCACGGCAGACCTCTCCTGTCCCAGCCCGCTGCTCCCCTCATCAGAGTACTTTGTCAATCTGCCTGTTCTGCTCCCCGCTCTGTCTCTGGTGAATCCTCTCATCGTCCCTGCACCTCTGGCCTATACCCCAGTTCAGTATGAATAAATAAATCTTAAGAAAAAGAACAGGGGTGTAAGCCAGAGGTGTGGAGGGTGAGAGGATTCACCAGAGACAGAAAGGGGAACAGGATAGGCAGATCTACTGAAATACACTGCTAAGAACAGTGGGCAAGACTAGAGAAGTTTGCTGCTCCATGTTAGCTCCCTGGCTGTTGATCTAACTCATGCAGCAAGGGCTGATGATAATTTGATAGTGCTGAGACTTTAACCCCCAGGCCACCAAAGAGGCCCCATGGGCTTGAGATATTAAAAAAGTAACACCTGGCCTCATCAGACTCCTGTATGTTTTTTGCCCATGAGATTTTGTATTTCAACAAGAGACCCGTTCTCCTGAATAACAACATTGAGGAGGGAGTGAGCATACACAGACCTCATCTTGTAACTGAAGCCCAGTCTGACACCCTTGATAATATCTGTGACTACAGATAATGCAAACAGTAGGCATGCCATTCCTTTCTATTCCCCCACTTTCTGTTTCTATTTGTCAACCCCAAGTCTTTTCCTTTCCAATAAGACTAAGTTTGACATTGATGGGATTGAAGACCCTCAGCAGACTGTCGCTGGGGCCCTGCACAGTAACACTGCCTCTCTTCAGGAGGTATACACATTTTCTGGAATGTCGACAGTCTGATTGCTGAAAATGGACTTCATTCTTGTAGTAGATGCGTCAAAGAGCTACTTCTCTTCTTTAAGAGAGCACAAGCCCCAGGTTCTGTAACACTGACAATACTTTTAGTAGTGTTTAATAACATATTTCACTTTAATTGTAATTATTTTTATAGTTATTCTGTTTGTGGGCAAGTGACACTGATGTTAAATTTGCCAAAGGAACAATGAAGTTTGAGAATAGCCTTTAAGAATGAAACAACTTTAAGCAGTGAAAACTTTTTAAGCAGTAAACAGTTCAGGTGATACTTATGAAACAGAGATAGTGGCTGAGCCTCCACTGCCTTTTTATCAGCTCTGTGTTGAGTGGGAAGGCAGTCTGAAGCTCATCCTTAATTTGGTTGTCCTATGGGAAATATATTGGAGAGAACCACAAGTTAAAATGTACAACCAAATCTTTCCTGTGATGTTTTCTAAGCATTTCTCGTTTTCCCCATTAAATTCCTGGATTGGTGAGGAGTCTTGTAGACAGATTAATAGAGCTGGGAATAAATATAAACTTAGTCGGAAACGTTAGTTCCCGGTCCAACTACCTTACAAATAACCAGGTGTGGCTGATGAAGTTAATGGGGGGTGTGTGTGTTTTGGGGTGGGGTGGGGGTGGGGATCTGTGGGTGTGAAGGGAACCACCAGAGGGAGAAATGAGCATGTTATGTGCATTTCCCAATCTCCCAGTGCTGATCCAACCCTGTGGTCTGTGATTTGGGGGTCTGCCAATACTTACCTTGACATTAAAAGTTCCAGTGGGGAAATGAGTTAAGACAAAAGTTTTAGGCCGTATTGGATGTGGCTACGAATTTCTATACTGGAAGGGTTTATGAAAGTGGGGAGTTTCTGAAATTGCATGATTTTAAGAGATGTGAAGAACTGTCCAAATAGGTGATTCGGCCGTGTGTGTGTGTGGGGGGGAGGTAACCCTAAATAACAGGGTCGTTTAGTCCTAGAATCCAGAGAACACTACAGAGCTGAACCAGCCCTGGCAACCCTCGCCCTCGATCACCCCAGTGCTTCCTTCCGGAGAGTTAGTAAACGTCCTGAACAGTGGCCACACGTCATTCGGTCAGATCATGTGATCCGACCCGCCCAAGCGCCACATCGCCAGCCGCACCCCTACACCCCCACCCTGTCCACGTGACCCGGCCTACTTTCTCCCGGTGCGACCCAAGCCTCTCTCGGGAAGCTCCGCCCCACGCAGCGCGCTAGTCCGGTGAACCTCCGCCCCTCATCCGCTCGAGTTCGAGAGCTGCTCGCGGACCCACGTGCTTCTTCCTGCCCAATGGGGGCCCGCGTTCGGGCGGGAAAGGGCGGAGAGGCAAGGACGGCTTCGTTACGCTGCAAGAAAGGGGCGGGGCCTTCAACGTCGGCCTGAACGAGGGGACGCAACGGAGGCAGGCCGGAGCCGCTGCCGTCGCCATGACCCGTGAGCACTGAGACCCCCTCCTCTTGCCCTTCTCTCTCTGTCCGCACTAAACACGGCCGCCGAATTCCGGCTCTGACTTCCTCTTGGCGTCCCCAGCGAGGCCTCTCTCTGGGAGCGCTTTTCAGCGACCCTCAACACTCGAGCCGGAAATCGGCTCTTGACCCACCGCCACTTCTTGAGACCCTCTCTCCCCTGGGGCAGGCAGAGACCCTCCCCGACTTTCCGCGGTGTGGGGAGAAGAGCACTGTGATGGGCCCAGAAACCCCTATTCCAAATCTTACCCCACCCCCCACAGAGACCCAGATCATCCACGCACACCACTATACTTGTCTGGGCCCCCACGCCATCCCTACACTCGAAACAAACCTCTAGAAGGTTCCTTGGGGCCGTTTTCTCCATCCCCCAATTTGACCTGTCTCGTGGCAGCTCCCGCCTCCCCCTCCCCCTCGCGGACAGCAGCCTAGGCTCGGAATGGCCCAGTGTCGGGTGCAGGGGATGAAGTGTGGGACCCTGCTGGCCTGGGGTGAGGGAGTAGGGTCGCCACTGTATGGCCGGAGGCCCCGCGTCTCACCTTATGCCGTTTTTCTTTAGGCGGTAACCAGCGCGAGCTCGCCCGCCAGAAGAATATGAAAAAGCAGAGCGACTCCGTTAAAGGAAAGCGTCGAGATGACGGGCTATCTGCTGCCGCCCGCAAGCAGAGGTAGCCCCAGGGAGGGGAGGGAGGGGTGGGGAGGGAGGAGGCCTGGGTTAGACCTAGGTTTGTACCAGGAAAGCGCTACTGCAGGACTTGCATCTGGATTAGTTGTGGGGGGCAACTCTAGGGTTGCCTCTCTTTAGGGTTTTATTTCCTCCCCGGCCTCCACACTGAGCTCAATCTTACAGGAAGGGACTGGGGAGGGTGCCTGCCCTTGGTCCGATTTTTGAGCGCCCTGGGCCTGACCTGAAGGGCAAGGGCAGGGAGCTTCACATTTCAAGCGCAGTAGTGGTTATGATAGCCCGGAACTTTGGCCCTCCTTGCTGCTGTTTTTCCTCCCTTCTCCCAACCTTCTCACTGGCTTTGCTGGGTGTGGTACTCAGCACAGAATAGAGAGCCTTGGGCCAATGTGACCAGACTTCTGACCCCTTGGACAACGGCCAGATAGAGACTGATTGCCTTTTGAGTCTCAGCTCTCTTCCTCTTGTTCTCCTAGGGTGGGAATACAGCAACCACACGCTGAACTTTGTCCCATCCACTTCCATCTTATCCTTTGTGCCCTTCATCCCCCTGCATCTTGTCCTTTTTGCCCTCTGGTACCTCCCAGTGCCCCATCATCTCTACCCCCAGGGACTCGGAGATCATGCAGCAGAAGCAGAAAAAGGCAAACGAGAAGAAGGAGGAACCCAAGTAGCTTTGTGGCTTCGTGTCCAACCCTCTTGCCCTTCGCCTGTGTGCCTGGAGCCAGTCCCACCACGCTCGCGTTTCCTCCTGTAGTGCTCACAGGTCCCAGCACCGATGGCATTCCCTTTGCCCTGAGTCTGCAGTGGGTCCCTTTTGTGCTTCCTTCCCCTCAGGTAGCCTCTCCCGCCCTGGGCAACTCTTGGGGGTGAGGGGGGGTTACCCCTTCCCAGTGTTTTTTATTCCTGTGGGGCTCACCCCAAAGTATTAAAAGTAGCTTTGTAATTCCTTGAGCGCCTGGTTTGACTGGGGATTTTGGGGGGATGGGGATGGAGGAATGGCTGCCCTTTCCCACCAAAAGGTGAGAGACCTTTAGATTCCAAAAGGTGGTGGGTATGTAGACTAAAGAAAGTATCACAGAAAATTTTTTAATTATACTATGACAAATAGTTAATCTGGATATGTGGTAGAGGGATCCTCTAAGAATATGGAATTCTTTTCTGTGATTTTTGTCTGCCATGCAGACCTTAAACACCATCCCAGGGATGGAGTTGAAGGCCCAAGAGGGAGGACTCCAAAATTCACTTTAAGCTCCACTTCTTTATTCTTCCTCAGTTTGTTTGCCTGCTTGAAAGTTGGCCAAAATCCTGCTGCTCACTGACTTCCCATGGTTAGCTGTTCTCAAATGTTCACATTCTCTTCTGTCATTCCTCATGGAATGAGGGTGGTTTTTGTCTTCCCATTTCATTTGACCTCAAGATAAGGATTGAAACCTAGGGTCGTCTCTCTGCTCCTTTCTTCCCATGTCCTGGTTCTGGGCGGCTTTTATCCCTGTGCCCAGGGCTGAACTGCTTTTCCTTTAATCTCCAAGGGCACAGCCAAGTAAGTTTTCAGTCCCTGTTGGTCTTTCCCTGTTCCCACGTCCACCACACAGCCCAGGGAAGTGCTGATGCCACATTGTCTGCTGGGATCAGCAGTGATTCCTGAACTGCTGACTTGAGGGTAAGGCTCTTGAGCGGAGATGAAACCTAACGGTAGCTCAAGTGAGTCAGATAGTCTGCCCAGGACATTATACTATGCATGGCCACTTCTTCCATTTCAGATATAGTAACCACTTCAGCCAAAAGAGATAACTGCCTATTGTCCTTAAAGTATTTGCTGGGATGGCCAACAATGTAGGGGTGCAATTTCAGGGGAGCTCTTGTTACTAAAAGAACCTAGTATAACTATCTGTCACCTTATAATATCAATTTGATGTATCCTAAAGTAAAAGGCTGGGAGACCAACAATCATGTTAGTAGCAACCCCAGATGGAGGAATATCTAGGCCAGCATGAGGCAACTTTGATCCAGAAAGTAGTCCAGTTACCCATAATGAAGGTCTTTTCTAGCTATGTTCCTTTTTAGCTATCAAACCAAAGTTTCTGGTTAGAGAATATTTAGGACTTTAGCTTTTAGATTCTGTCCTACCGTCCCACCAAAGATTATGCCAGATATGAATGAGTGGCTCCTGAAAACCCTTAGGAATGGCTTTGAATTGCTCTTCCCCTAAAAGGGCTAGGTTTTCAGGAGCTAGGGATCCCAGGTTCACCCTTATTCTACCTAAACCAGTTGGTAAGGGTAACTATGACATAAGAGTAATACAAAGAAGAAGATGAAGTAAAAGGCAGAATAGCTGTAGGAAAGATGCTGAGCTTGCACTGGGGGAGCTAGAGAAGTCTCTTGGTCATTTGGCCTGGCAGCCCCGGCCCCTTGTTCTGGGTAAGGGAAGAGTGCTTTTGCACTCAAAGCAGCTCTTCCCTTACCCAGCTTTTGTAAAGGTGCTTGAGTGCTCTTTGGCATTCTACAGAAATCTACATTTTCTTACAAATTCTCACATGACACTCACCTTCTGGTTCAGATGTTTGGGGGCAGCAGAAAGTGAGGGTTTCTGTAAAACAAAAAGCAGTCTGTTTGCAATGACTTTTAAAATGTGAGGGTATTAATACAGGACAGTTATCTTCTTTGAAAAAATTAATCTGATGTAAAAAGTGGAGGCACACCTGGGTTCAAATTCTAGCCTCAGCATATAACCGGTTATGGGAACTTTGGTAAGATGTTTAATCCTCTGTGCCTCAGTTTCTCCATTTGTAAAATGGAGCAAATACCTACCTCACAGGGTTGTTGTGAGGATTACATTAAATGAGATTATGTATGTAAAGTAGCACAGTGCCTAGCACATTGTGGGTACTCAATAAAAGGTAATAGCTAGAATCTGAACATTCTGGGTAGAGGTTGGTAGGATGTGTGTGTGTCTGTGTCTGTGGGGGGGGAGGGGCATCGGGACACTGAGCTCTCCATTCTCACCTGGAATCATAGCTGTAAACCTTGATTATCCATAAGGTTCACATTACCTCAGCCAGGTAAGAAGCCTCTTTGCTGAGAAAGAAGAGACAGTTCTCAGGCTGGTCCAGTCACACAGCAGGAAATATTGCCCAAGGATAATTACTGCTAGTTGGTCCATACTGACAATTCATAGGCTGGCACTGTACTCCCACATCACTTTTTCCCCAAAGGTTTAGGTCTTGTGAAGGCCAAAAGTATTTGCACATTATTTTCAATCTCAAGTCATTCACCCTGCTCCCTTCATCTCATACAGATCATCTGACAAGTGCTATTTTTAGAAATTGTTCTGTGCAGGGGGAGCTTTCCTTACAGTAGTCTTGCTCTAAAGTTTAGATAAACCATGGTCCCAGACATTATCCTCTGTGCCCTGGATATCTTCCCAACTCACACCTCTTCCTTGACACCTTTATACACCGAACAAAAAGTACACAAGCATTCATGATGACTGCCAAAGAAGTGTTTGGTGTTTGGGGTCCCATTGTACTCAGGGCTGGCAGGCACATGGTGTGATCCTGTCCTTGAAGGATTACTGAGAAGGGCCAACAGACAAGTGAGGTAAGAGCAAAGAGGTATTCGACAAGCATAAAGTTTTATAGTAGAAGTCCACTCTGCCACTATAGCTATTACCTCTCTGGAGGACGACTGGACAGCGCAGAGGTCAGATACATGATCTAACAATAGAGGCTTGTGGAAGGCCATAGTGGGGGTGAGTCGGGATCACTGCTTAACAGAGTTATTTCCCTCTACCTTCACTTTGGATTTCGCACCCCTTGGGGAGGACAGGCTATTGATTGGGGATGCTAAGGCAATTTGCTATACTACAAGGCTCCCAAGTCTGGAGTGCTGCAAGGCATGTACCCACTGAGGTGGATGCAAGGAGCAATGGAGACAATGCAGAAGGATGTCACAGAAGCAAAAATGCGGACTAAGCATCTTGAGCAGGCAGCCATTTGAGTGTGTGTCATGTTGGAACAGGAGAGCTGCCACAGCTGCCATACAGTAGAATCCAAGGGTGGCCAACAGCACGGCTAGGAACCAGCACCAGTCTTGGGCTGCACCTGTCTGCTTGGGTGGGGGTGGGGGGCCAGGGGGAGGTGGGCTATGGCTTGGGGCCCCAACTCTATCCATTACCAACTATAACTCAAGACTGGTGTGACTAGACATCCAGTCTGTCTCACAGAATTGTCATATTTCTGAGGATTTTGATACTGCTCAGTAGGAAGTGATTAGACCACTGAGTTGTTATATCCCTTACCCAGTCCCACTGGGTCTAGTAATGTCAGACAACTGTCCCAGGAGGAGCCTTCAGGGTTATGTGCTGTTTACCAGTTTTTATTCCAGGAATGGGCAAAGGCTGTGAATATGAAGCCTCCACAGATGCTGTTGCAATGTCAAAATGCAAGTGAAGCACTAGTGGAAAATGTAGGTGAGCACATCACTACTTGCCCTATTTGTACCTTTTTATCTTAGGAAATCCTTTCATTTACTCCTGATGAGAGTGAAATTGGGAAGGTACCTGGGAAGAGATTCTTAGCAGGGATGCAGAAGTCAACAGCACAGAGACCTAGCAGGAATAGCAGCTTGAGGATCCAAAAGCTGGTTAGGTGGGAAAGAGATCCAGATTCTGAAGAAAAGCAAAGGACAATGAACAGTGCCCATGGAGGGTGACAAAACAAAACTAAAGGGGAGGGAGGACAAAGGGAAAGTGCAAGAGTCTGCACATAATAGCCTCCTGTTCTCTCCATTTTAGAAACTAGAAGCTCAGTAAGGGTAAATATGTAGCTCATAGTCACACAACTACAGTGAAAGAAGGGATTAAACCGGTTCTCTTTTTATAGTGCTGTTTAGCTCATAATTTTCTTTACTCAGCTTGTGTCTATCCTACCCTCTCCCCACCTAAAGTACACAAACTTACTAGGCAGTTGTACCTGCAGGTGGTGGGAGGGTGCAGAGGACCAGCAGCACAGCTTGCAGCAGGGAAAAGTTGTAGTTCCGGCCCTCCCTGGTGGCGCAGCGGGTTAAAGCACTGCACTAAGAAACTAAAGCCACTTCCATATGAGTTCACTAAGAAACTAAAGCCACTTCCATATGAGTTCGATCCCCGCCTGCCCTGGAGGTGACCACATGGCGTGGCAGACCTCTCCTGACCCGCCCGCTGCTCCCCTCAGCAGTGTATTTCGTCGATCTGCCTGTTCTGCTCCCCACTCTGTCTCTGGTGAAGCCTCTCACCCTCTGCATCTCTGGCCTGTACCCCAGTTCTGTACGAATAAATAAATAAATCTTAAAAAAAAAAAAAAGTTGTAGTTCCTGCACAGATTTGATAAACAGCCACAGAGCCACTGAGCACTGGGCAGTGGGAGTCGTCAAACAGATGTGCACACAGTCCTGATGGCATCTGGATCTGGAGGGGAGTGTGCAAGTGAGAAATGGTAGGGCATGTCATGGGTTTGTCCACTCATTACACCTCTGGCCCCAGTCTAACTCAGGTTCTCCTTTGATCTTTACCAAATTGTATCCTGGCTGCTTCTCACTCACCCCTTGTACCTTGCCCCAGAGCCTTTCCACTACGGTCCTTAATAGCTGGAGGCAGCACACACAGCTGAGGCCCCCATGTGGAGGAGGATGTAGAACAGGTGGCTACAAGTAGACTCAGTGAGGAGGGGCTACCTAGAATGGCAGCAGCAGGTGCAAGAAATAGGCCCACAGCAGGACACCTGAGGATAGAGCAGATGTAGGACAGCAAGGTGACTTGCCGAGGAAAGGCTTACAGAAATGTATGGGTGAGGTGAACCCATGAGATTGAATTACAAAATTTCCCCTTCCCTTTCTTCTTTACTTGAATTCTCAAAATGGCTGATTTGAAGCTATTTTGACTTGCTGTTCACTAGAACCAAGTAGAGTTTCATTATAAGAGGTTACCTGCAGGCTTGAACAGACCTCCTGAGAGCCTGTTTCACCCTTGGCTCTTAGCCTCCCTCTAAACATAATATCTCAGATGGGAATATATAAGAAGTTTCTGCAGCAGAAGCCCGTGGGAGGACAAAGGGAAGACCTACCCTATCACCTTTATTGACTCTGGCGGGTTTTCCTTCCCAGTTTCGGCCACCATTTCATTTTCAGACAGCTGTTGGCCTGTGGAGCTTTAAAGACTTGCGGGTGTACCCCTCTCACCTCATAGAAGGGAGGATTCACTATGACAATTCGGACTTTGTTGCATTGCTGTGCAAAGGGGAGGGAGATGCTGGGCCTGTAATGAACTTTGCACCTACCACCTTTGTCACAGGGATTAGGCCCAAATTCACCAGATGGAAGGCTGATGAGAAAGTAGCAGGTTTCTTCTGTCAGCCCATTGGACAGCCACTCTCCTGGGGCTGGTCACCCACTTTTAGCAGAACTGGGAAAGTACACCAAACTCCAGGAAGTGGTAAATGCAAATGTCCTGCAAAACCACTTTTCCCTCAGAGCTATCTAGCCACTGGAGCATGCTTCCCGGTTTAGAAAGCATTTGCATCATTGGCCTCCTGTGGATTAACATCCCTAATTGGTTTAGTATTAGACTTGACCCACCCTAGTCGAACAGAATTCCTACTGGGGGACAGTGTCGGTATGTAGAAGTGGAGGGCAGGAAGCTGGCTGCGAAGGTCTGGGGTGCTGAGGGTCGGATCTAGAGGGGTCCTTGCACAGAACAACAATGCACATGCCCAAAGTAAGTGTGAGCGGCAATGGTTCCTTCTTTGAAGCTTCCAGAACCAAAATATAACGAAGGTGTGGCCCGCGGTCGGTCCTTCCTCCTCCTCCCCTCTGGGCGGAAGTTGCGTAGCAGTGCCGGAAGTCGTGGTGGGGTGGGGTGGGGCCTGTGCTTCGGCGCGTTGGATCGATATGGCGACCGAAGGGGACGTGGAGCTGGAGTTGGAAACCGAGACCAGCGGTCCGGAGCGACCTCCAGAGAAGCCACGGAAGCATGACAGTGGTGCGGCGGACCTGGAGCGAGTCACCGACTATGCAGAAGAGAAAGAGATCCAGAGTTCCAATCTGGAGACGGTGAGGTTGGCGGGAGCATGTCTAGGGGGACTGAAAACAGGCAGTGAGGGGTTCTGAGGCTGTAATTGGAACCCCTCACACCAGTTGGGGTCCCGACCCAGATGGCGGGAGGCGGCTGGAGGGAAACAGCTGTCGCTGGAGCTCACCGCTTGCATAAAGGAGTTCGGTGGAGGTTGATTTTAAAGTAGATCTCAGGTGCACAAAATTGAATTAAACTTAGGCCGCGGTTCCTGGCACATTCCTCGTCATTACACGACTTTCCCGCTTTTGGCATTTTAGATTGGTAGGTGTGAGTAGCATAGCAATAACTAGGTCTGTTTTTCATATAGGCTATGTCCGTGATTGGAGATAGACGGTCCCGGGAGCAGAAAGCCAAACAAGAGCGGTAAGCCCCAGGTCTCAGCCGGCCCTACCAATCCTCTTCCTCCCCCCTTCTTTTATATAATAAAAAGTCATTTTTAAGCCTTTGTACAGTTCGATTTTATCACCAACTACTGCAGATCTTATTTTATTCCTTTGATGGTGGAGTAAAATACACCTGCCTGATGTTAGGACTCCAGAAGTAACAGAATATTAGGTGTGGGGGGAATCATTGTGTATTTTCACTTAACCATGCTTGTTAGCATCCCTTAATTTCCCAGGCACAGCTGGGAATGATTCTTCCTGGAGTTTATGATGGAAGTAGTGAATGAGGACCAATGTAAATAAAAATTTGCAGGGAGAAGGAACTGGCGAAAGTCACCATCAAGAAGGAAGATCTGGAGCTAATAGTGAGTAATAACATCTAATGTATAAGTAGAAATTACTTTGCTTAATTTGGGTTTCTTGAAGTAAGTAGAATGTTTTGGTGACACGTTACTACCAAGGAGAAAACTTAAGTAGTGGCATCCTTAATTCTTTTCCTACAGATGACAGAGATGGAGATCTCAAGAGCAGCAGCAGAACGAAGCCTGAGGGAACACATGGGCAATGTGGTAGAGGCTCTCATTGCCCTAACCAACTGATTTGTGCTGACTTACCCACTGGATTAACTTATTTCAATAAAGTTTTGTCCTTTTATTTTTGCAGTTTTATCATCTCAGATCAAGTGCACTGTGTGTATTTTGTGGGAAATTTATGTGTTGGAGTAAAATAGAATTTAAGTGAATCTCTCCCTTCCCCCTCAAACCCTTAATGAAGGGGCACAGAAAAGAGCACATCATGCAGATGCTAGTTGGGAGGCCAGGCTTATTCAGTCTAGATCTCAAAAGTATCTAAGGTACATTTGGAATCTTGGCAGTTAATATATCCCCACGGTGTGTCACCGTGATAGTTTCTGAACAGCCTAAAGGTCAGTGCCTGCCTGGGATCCACTACAGATTTAAGTCATTAAGCTCATTTGCAAGTCATTTTTGAGTTGGAATTTAAGTAATGGAGGTGAGAATATAGAACAATGGAAAATATCAAAGGTTAGGTCTTATATAGCATTAATCTATGAAAGATCTTGAATTTATGAAATATTGAATTCTGAACTCCAAGTATACCTTCTATTCCATTTCCTATCCTAGAGAAAAGACAACTGTACTTTAAAATTAAATTTAGCCACATGGTATTTGCTGAGTGCCTTTTCAGCTATAAAATGATGTTCCTGATTAAGTTGTGAGAACTGAACAACTGGGCCTCTAGTGGTACAGGGGTTAAAGCCTCAGCACTATCCAGCTGTCACTGGCCGCTCCAATGAATTTGATCCCTGGCTAGGGAGCTAACTAACCCACATGGTGCAGCAGACCTCCCCTATCTCACTCACTGCTCCCCTCTACAGTGTGTTTCAGTAGGTCTGTCTGTTTTGCTCCCCACTGTCTCTGATGAATCCCCTCCCCACACTTCTGGCCTACACCCTAGTTCTTGTATGCATAAATAAAACAAAAATCTTTAAAAAAAATTAATGAAATGATGAATATGAAACTCTGAGTGGACATTTATGGCAACTTAAGATTTTATCATTTTAGCTCTAAGATAATTCTTCGATTGTACCCCCCCTCACCCCCCCACATAGCAATGAATTATGTTCACCTTTATGTGTTTATTACCTTACAGGCCTTTTGAAATTGGTATTTCCTAGGATACCTAAGGGTTTATGAATGATTTTCTCAACGGGGCATTTCAAGGATGTGAAAAGGCAACCTTATTTTTATATAGAAATAATTTCCCTATTGGCTGTTACTCACTATAACTCCTCTGGTGCCTGGTAGTTACACAGTAAACAGCATATGGAAAACTGAATTTAAAAATAGCATGATGCTACTACACTGCAACAAGGAGAGACTATGCCTTTGATGTATGCTGAGAAGAAAGACTAGTAGGTACTTGGAGTGCCTCTTTTGTGGGTCAGTTTTTCCATATACAGCAGTTTATAGTGTAGAAACACCTAGATAGGCATTTTCTCAATAAATCTCGGTGCTACTTAGGACACAGCCTATATCTAAGTTGGTTTGATTAATTAAGTTGATCAAAGTGTGAAATAGCTGCCACCTTACAGTTACTGCTGTCTTTTTGTTAAAAGGTTGATGCTTAGCCTGCATATTTTACTTCCAGTGTCATACTAAAAAACTTTTTGCTATATTTCTTTTGCATACAAATGGGTCAAAAAGTATGTTTACTTAGAAAAATTGACTCCCACCAAAAATGTAAAACAGGTTTCAATGAGTTAGATTTCCTATAAGGTAGCGGTAATGTATTGTCCACTTATTGCCCATGTTTCTCACCCAAACTAATGGGTTGGAAAAAGAAACTTGGAACAGTCCCATATTTGGGAAGCCAGAGAAATGATGAAACCTAAGATTTCTTGAAAATAGTTTTAAGTGGGGATCCTCTATTCCTACCTGGACAGTGCTTTTCTGTGGGTTTCTCAGCATGAGTCCAAACCTCACAAAGCACACTCAAAGACTGGATACCCAGTGTCACGAGTATGGCAGTAGGTCCAAGAGGCTGGATACAAGGGCCTTGCAAATCACGGAAAAAGCAAATCAAGGATCAGATGCTGAGGCCTCCCCGTGTGTCCCACAGCTAGAAGAATTAAATAAGTTGAACTTTTAAGTAGTTTTCCGCTTCTTGGCAGATGGCCGTTCAAATACATCTCGTACTCCAGCTGCCTTCTGTTTAAAGAACTTTGTGTTCTGTGCACTCTCTTGGCCCCATGCTGAGTCAAAGGAGGTGGTATCTTGATCCACAAGGTGGGTGTATTTGGTACGACCAGAACGCCCAAAGTTCTTGACCTGAAAAAATGACAGACCGTGACTCACATCTCAGCCCTTAATACAGTTTTTTACCCCCTCCCATGTTATTAATATCCGCATACCTGCATGACTTTTGGAAGAATGGTTTTATTGAAATGATCTTCCAGGGTAGGTGCGCTGAAATCTCTCTTGTAAACTTCTTCATCCTCATCCTGTAGAAGAATCATAAATCAGTCTTGTAGCTTTATTTTCCATATATTCAAACTACAAATTAACCTTGACTACAAGGAATACAAAAAAAGAGGAAAGAAGACCTTTAAGAACTTCACCTAGTTGATATTCCTTTTTCTTTGTGTTGTGTTTCTCTTTCCTAAAGAGGTATTTTCTGAAGTTGTATTCTCTGCATGCAACCCATTCTTTCACTTACATGATTTCACTCTACATAGCTCCGTCCTGAAATTTTTATTTTTTGGTTCACATTCCCCTCTGCCCCCCATTTTCACAACTTTTCCAAATTATTCTTCCTGGTTATAATACTTGAAATCCATGCACTGTCAATTAGCTGTATCTTATACATCCTCAACTCTTGGATTCTTTCAGTTCTCCCCCTCAGTCTCATATAATGCCACTAGATTAATGTTTACAAGATAAAACTTAAAACTGCCAGTGGTTCTCTTAACTAAATACAACTTCTCTGAGTAGTAGAGCTCAACTACTGTAGACTTTTAATTTACCTGTCCTTGCAACTTCCCTTTATAGATAATATTTTCTGCCTCCACTCCTATTACTTCAACCTCAGTGTATTCTTACACTGAGTATCAGAAAGTCCTAAACATCTTAAATGTTACCTTCTTTAATGGCATTCTTTTCAATAGTCTACCAATTATATCTCCCTCTTCACATGTCCCACAGTACTATTACTCTTTGGAAGTTATGTATCTGCTTTAGTTTCATTTTTGTGTTATAAGCTTTTTGAGAGTACAGATTACAAGCCATCTAGCATTACTAAATGGTAATGTTCTTTACAGAGTAAATGCTTGAAAGGTTATTAGTAAAATAATAGAAAATGGTTTCAAAAATCTGTAATACCACAATATTATGATACATATTAGAAACATATGCCCAAGAAATTAAAACAGCACTTCTTGGTTAAGAAAAGCTTCACAGAAGTGTTGAGCTGTTTAAACACATTTTAAAAAGATATTCTTTTCCCTTCAGCTATAGAAAGCAGTTTAAAGTCAGGATAGTTAAACAGTCTTTGTAAAAACGAATTTTCTCCTTGTTCTAGCCGAAGAACCCGTCACTGATTTTGGGAAGCCATTTCTACTTCACTTTCTTTATCTATATGAGAAGACTTGATACCTGAACCAAGAGTTTCACATAAATCTTGCCTTATTTATCTTAGTCAGCAATCACTGCTCTTTTAAGAAGTCTGGTTATTATAGCTGATGAAACACTTAAGCATTCGTACTTGATGACTTTAACTTCATCGCCATTGTCTCTAATCTAGAAAATTACATAAACTGGAAAACTAAAACAAACCTTTCATGTTCATCAGATAGACTCAAACTCTTTGGAGAGGAAAAAGGAATCCTCTACTGAGGTTTTTAATTTTATCAGTCTCTGTAGTGGAATTAACAGATTGGGGACATTTAGGATTTGATAAACAGCATTTGAAAAAACTAGTTTTTGATACCAACAGGAAATAATTCATTAGCTTCTGTAAGCTCAGAATTGAACTTCTGCCACCCACATTTTGAGTACCTAGAAAGCTTGAGCTTGGTTTTCACAATCAAAATTTTTTACTTGGCTATGAATGATATTTAAGTGATTTGGGGACATAATTAGACTAATAGCTATATAGATCATTCTTAGCGTTCTTCAATTCTATTACATTTGCTCTTTCTGAGAACTGGGGCCAGAATAGAGAGCAGTTGCTGTTAGTTCTAAAGTTCCACTGTCAATGCTTTTCTTTATTGGATTTATATTCTTCAGAAAGAATAGCAAATAATAAAGTTGGAACACTGGCAAGTAAAATTAGTATCATAGGACTAGTCTATTCTTTGGTGGGAGAAAGAATTTAAACTTCTGAATTATTGCTACTACCCAAACTTTCCCATTCCAATTTTATATCTTACCATGAAGAAGGCACCACGGTGATAATATTTCTGTAAGAACTTATATTTGCCCTTAACAGCTTTGTTTGTAATGACTTTGCCATTTGCTCGAAGCTCAGCTCGCCTTTCTTCCTCAGTGAGGTTTCGCATGCGCTCAATTTCAGCTTTCTCTTTCTCAAGCCTGTCCAATGGACAATGCTATTAGTATTGTTAGCTTAAAAAAATGCACTTTTTTTACTTTTCAAGTACTGTTCCCCTTCTTTATTTCTAGTTATTGCTATTAGGAATCAAGACTGGGAGCTCAATAAATAGAAAGGTGAGGCGGTCCTTATTGTACATGCAGATAAGATACTGCATGCTTCTAAAAATGGATTCTAGTCTTTCAGAGGTTCAGACACACTACCAATGCTTGATTTTGCAACACTAAGAATTCCCTCTTTCCTAAAATATCTGAGATTTAACAACATCAGAGTAAATTAAAAACAACTGAGACTCTGCTGGTAAATTATTTAAATGCCACAATGCATGCCTTGCTATTATGCATGCCTCTTTGAAGAAATAATATGTGAGCCTCAAAGACCTTGACAACTTCCAGTTTTGTCTTCTTGGAATGCTGCTGAGACTATTATGTAAGGAGTGATTACACTTAGTGAAGCAGTGAGGCATCCTAGCCGATAGTCAGCAAAATGACCAGATATGTAAGTGAAGCCATTCTGAATAGTCTAGTCCAGTCAATTCTACTAGACGGAACTGCACAAGATAACCCAGGTAAAATCAGCAGAAGCACTTAGTGGCTCTCCAAAACGGAAATAATCAATTGTTTCATGGCACTTAATTTTGGGTTGGGTTGTTAGCCTAAGTAGATAACTGGTAACAGTAAGTAACTTTTATGTGTTTAATAGGAAACTAAAGAGAATGTTAGTTTTTCATGAAGAAACATTTTCAATGAAGTATTTTTGTTGCTATAAGCCACAACATATTCTTTATTTCCCATTATTTTAATTATGGGAAACTCATCCATTTGCAGGAACTAAAATGGAACTCACACAGAAGTATTGAGTCTCAGAGCTATTCTATTAGCGGCCCTAACCACTAGCGATCCTAACTCTAAGCCCAACCAATTACTCACGCTTCTCTATCTTCTCTGTCCCTCTTGATTCTTTTCAGCTCTCGAACCTTCCATGCCTCATACTCCTCCTCATCATTTTCATCATCAGTATTCAGTGCATCTAGTGCAGCCAGGGACCGTTTGTTTTCCTCCAGCTCTTTTTTGGTCTCTTCTTCTACAATCTGGATAAGGAGAATAATTCAACCATTGACTTCCTTATTTTTTTTTTTTTTGACTTTCTTATTTTTAATCAGACAACCCTAAGAAGGCTACTCCTTGCACTCAGTCTTCAGCCTCTCCCCAATACCTTTAGCGTATATTTGCGCCTCTCCTCAGCCATGCGTTTTGCCTCCTGTTCCAGCTCCTTCTGTTTCAGTGCTTCAGCCTCGCGTTCTTGAACTGTTACTCGGTCCTTTCTGCAGCAGTGAGATAGTGTTAACTGCCCAAGCCCTTAGAGTAGAGCTCTTCATTTCCCTAACTCAGTCTTCAAATCAGACAAAGCCAAATAATCTTTGGCTCTATATTTGCAAAGAGCCAAAAACGAGAGTCTTCTAGATCTTCAGCAAATGGAAATTCCATTTATCTTTGAAAACTGGACAGCAATGAATCTGTTGGATTGTAAATAGCTTTTCAAACTTAATTTTGTGCTTAAAATAATCTAAGACTTAGGGCAGACATGTGCTCTTTAGCTGGAAAGGGAGATGTGAAAACAAGCTCAGGCTCTGTTCACACCAGGATAGTCCTCAGAAAATATTCTGCAGAGCCAGGACACTTGTGCTACCAGGGAGGCCCTGAATACTTACTTCCTAATGAAGACCGGCTTAAGGCGAGGCTCCATCTCATCTTCACTGTCTGTGTACTCTTCATACTCAGATTCTGATTCTGACTCCTCCCCAGAATGTCCTTCATCTTCTACCTCCATGACTTCCATTTCTTCATTTTTTCTTTCCTGTGCTCGCTGACGCATCATGCCACGGCGCCGCTCTATTTCCTATCAAATTGCATATTCCAGTCAGTTAGCTAAGTTGCCTGTGCTCCAAGATGGACTTTTATTGCCCCTTGCTCGAGCTCAACAAACTCTGATATGAGGAAAAACAATTCAGCACCGTTCTACTTTCAACTCTATCCCCCCCAAACAGGGAACATTTGGATCAGAGTTCTGCCAAAAGCAACCATCTTCTGCCTTTGAGGCCTCAACAAAGGAGGACAGGCCTCAACTCTTTCTTATGGCCAGAAAGAGCTTCCCATTCTCCTATATTATACCTCATCATCAATTTCTTCCTCTTCCTCTTCACTACTGTCTTCTCGTTCCATGCGCCAAGCATCTCCTTCTACTTCTGAATCACTTTCTCCTACCACTTCAGGCTCCACTATTTTCCGATGTCGAGCCAATCTGCAAAAGAGTATCTCTAAGTGTTAACAACCAAGGTCACAAAATTGAAGGTGGATCAATCACATTTCCTTTGTGATAGAGCACCCTAACATTGTGTTTGCTTTTATTACATACTGAAGTCGTGAGATAGGGAAACTGAAGTGCAGATTAAAAGAAACTTAAAGAGTATCATTGCAAGTTGAAACTAAAACATACAACGTATGCTGAGGCATCATGGGTCTATACAACAAACTCAAGTTGCACTGTTATATATTTTTTAAGCTCAGGGTAGTTTACAGTTGCAATACTGCATCACACTGTTTTCTTGAAATAATATGTCTTTGTGAAACAGTTTTTGGTGGCTGTGATGAAAAGCATATACTGCATGAAAGTCAATACAGAAATAGAAATGAGAGTTACAGTGCCAATCAGATTCCAAGGTTTGGAAAGCTGTCAGTGTCCAAGAGGCACACAAATCCAGCTAGTATGTAACTTCTGTTAGATAATAAAAAAAATTTTCCTTTATGGCTAAGTTGTTAGGACATAAATGCTTTTAGAATTATTTAGACCTAACTACTTAACAAAATAAACAGAATTGTTTGGGCCACGGAGTTCTGTGAAAAAATTTCTGAGACAGGGCCCTCCTTGGCACAGCATTCAGAAGCTAGCCACTGCTGCCTCAGCATGAATTCTAACTGGCCAGGGGAATGACCCAAATGGCTCAGCACCCCTCTCCTGTCTCACCCACTGCTCCCCTCAGCAGTGTACTTTGTCGATCTGCCTGTTCTGCTCCCCACTCTGTCTCTGGTGAATGTTCTCACAGCCCCACGCACTGCACCTCTGGCCTGTACCCCAGTCCTGTATGCATAAATTAATAATTCTTTTAAAAAAAAATAAAGAAAAATTTCTGAGAATATGAACTGTGCAAGTTTGGTACCTCTGGTTTACTCTGTAATGTAATACCTCAACACAACACACACAACAAATCTCTCATTGGTAGATTCCAATTTACATGAGACTATTTAAGAGGCCTTTTTCCTACTACATTAGTGTTGTCCTCCTCATTAGGCTTTAGAAATCCTGACTAGATGAAATCAGCTCTTCAAATTTTATAAAATATATTTGTGCTAAAAAGATTCCCCTAAATAAGTAAACCAAAAATCTGTGTTTGGTATTCCTCCAATTAATTAATTAGGCCTATGGGCCATATGTAACTGCTGTTTACTGGCTGCCACTTACTGGTTGTGCAGTTTTGTTTTTTTTTTAATTTAAAAATTATTTTTAAAAGGGTTGTATTTTTTTATTCATGTATACAAAAACTGGGGTATAGGCCAACAGTGCGGGGGGTGAGAGGACTCACCAGAGACATAGTGGGGAGCAGAACTGGCAGATGCACTGAAATACAGTGCTGAGGGGAACAGTGGATGGGCCAAAAGAGGCCAGCTGTACCGTGTGGGTTACCTCCCTAGAGGGAGCTAAAACCTGTGCTGCAGTGGCTGCAGATAGCTTCATAGTGCCTTAACCCCTTGTACCACCAGGGAGGGCCCCTGTTTGTGCAATTGTGGTTGTAACATTTTCCTAATCCTTTTGTGCCTCAGTTTCTTCATCTATAAAAGAAGACAGTAGTGTCTACCTCATAAGGTTATTGTGTGGATTACAAGAATTAGTAAAATGTGGAATCATGACAGCCACCGAGTAATGACTGTTTAAAAAATTACAGTCACAGTACAACCACTATGGAAAACTATTTGGAGGTTCCTCAAACTGCTAAACATGGAGCTTCCCTACGACCCAGCAATCCCACTCCTAGGTATCTACCCAAAAGACATAAAAAGACTGATTGAAAAAGATACCTGCACCCCCATGTTTATTGCTGATTTATTTACAATTGGAAAAACATGGAAGCAGCTCAAATGCCCAAAAGTAGATGACTGGATTAAAAAGATGTGGTACATATATACAATGGAATATTACTCAGCAACCAAAAAAGAGAAACATGTCTTTTGCAGCAACTTGGATGGAGCTGGTAAAGATCATGCTTAGTGAGATAAGCCAGAAAGAGAAAGAAAAATACCGGATGGTTTCACTCATAGCAGGAGTATAATGGACCAGGCGAGAAAATAACAAAAATAATGAACAACCATATACCAGAGACATTTTGCGGGGGTGGAGTGGGGAATGGGATCAAAAATGGGGGGGTGGGGAGGGAAGTGCACGGGATTACGGTGATGGCACATTGGTGACTTGGTGATGGGAAACCCATGGGGATTACAATTGAGATGGGGAAAAAAATGTACAAAATGATGTAAAAACTGTTATAAAATAAATAAAAAAACCTGCAAAAAATATAAATAAAAATTACAGTTGTTCATATTAATTAACATGTAGGGGTTCAGGACCAGCGTAGTCATTACCTCTCTTCCACATCTTCACTAATACGGTTCTGCAAACGCCGCAGTCGAGGGTCACTAGATGAATCCTCCTCCTGTTCCTCAGGCTCTGCTTCTTGTTCTTTGGCTTTCTTAATGAACTGAAATTCTTCATCTTCCTCATCTGAGGATTCCATTGGAGCATAGTCTGGCCTCTTTCCGGACACATAACGTTTTACCTTCACTTTCTCCATGGAAATCTCACCTGGGTAAGAAAGGTAACATTGTTTCAGTAGCATCTCTCTCCTTCAACCCTTGGTCTTTACAGGTAGAGCCAGTATTTCTGGCAAACAAGAACCCAAACAACATGAAAGTGCTATTTTGAAGAAATATGTGTACTCCATGTTTACTGCAGCACCTTTTTCAATAGCCAAGATACAGTGCCCATCAACGGATGAATGGACAAAGCTATACACACACGGATACATACCCAGACACAGAAAGGAATACTGGATCTAGAGGGTATTATGCTAAATGAAATAAGTCAGATAAGTACCATATGATTTTATTCACATGTGGAAGATAAATGAAAAAAAAAATGAACAAAACAAAAATAAACTCTTAAAAGAACAGAAAGGGGGTGGATAGATTAATATTGTTATATATAACTGATGAACATACAAAAAAAGTTGACATTGATTTAAAAATACTATCTAATATATAGCGCCCAATTGTTTCCTATGTTCTTTTTTAATTTTAAAAATCAATGACCATTACTGAACTGGAAAAACAAACAAAAGAATCCAATCAGAAGACAGCCACTAACCAGCCATCTATCAAATGATGTTTTCTTACAAAAGTCAAGTCATGGAAAAGCATTCCTGTAAATAACAACACTGAAGATGATGAGGCCTAGCTTGGGTAAGATGAAGTGGAATGACAGGGAGCAGACACAGAAAAAGTGTCTCAAAATACTCTCCATTACAAATTCATGCTATTCACCGCAACTATACCCTCAAGTGAGTATCTGAAACAGTGCCCAGAAAACCGTAATGTGACTTACATGGGAGCATAAAGTGAAGATGCTGCTCATTCTTTTAGTTCCTCTAGGTATTTCGATGGCAGCATTTATAAGATTACTACCTAACTCAATCTTATCTATTTCTACCTCCTTTTAGTTTATGTGTTACCAAAACTCTTTTACCAATACTAGCAACTCCAGTCAACAGAAAAAAATTTAAAATAAATTTTGTACAATGAGTACAACTCTGACAACCAAACTGTACAGTTCAAAGGAAAACTAGGTAATTTTGCACAGATACAAAAACAGTAATGTCAAATTCTAAGCCATCATCAGCAATAGTCTTTAGCTAAGGACAATGATGACTTTTATCTTAGAAAATCAATGGGAGAAAAAGGAAAAATTTTTATGATTAAAGTCACATGACCCTTAATACATCAAACATCGTATTTCATGACAGAAAATTATAAGTATTCTTTTGGAAAAAAAAAAAAAGAAAACCAAACCAAACCAAAATAGTGGGGGGCCTCCCTGGTGGCACCAGGAGTTAAATGTCAGCACTATGAAGCGTTCAGCAGCCACTGCAGCATAAGTTGAGTCTCCAGCCAAGGAGCTGACCCACAATGGCACAGCAGACCTCTCCAGTCTCTCCTGCTGCTCCTCTTGGCATGTATTTCAGTAGATCTGCCTGTTCTGCTCCCCACTCTAGTGAATTCTCTCATCATCCCCCTCCCTACCGCACCTCTGGCTTACACATAAATAAATTATTCTTTAAAACAAACGACAATTGCAGTACTTGAATAGAATCCTGAAAACTACATGACCAGGAAACTATGCCTGTATAGGAGAAAAACAATTGTTGACCCTCAGTAGGGAATAAACTGTGGTTTAATTATACAGTGGAATTCAGAAGTTAAAATGAGTGAATTAGATCTCTCGGCATCCAAAGTATAATTCTCAGATGTCATGATGAATTGGGGGAAAAAAGGCAAAAGAGCTTGAGAAATGGTACAGTATATTTAAAAAACAAAAACAACTGGTATTATTCAAAATTATTCCAGAAAAACTGTTTAGTCAAACTCTCCCAACAGGTACAGTGTTCCTTCTTCTATCATTGAAATCCTACCCATCCTTTACGATCAATTTAAATGCCATCTTCTTCAAACTTTCTTTGATTACCAACATCAGAAGAGATTATTCTTCTGTGTCTGTCCTCCTACAACGCTTGCTTTATATCACCTATATGATATGTATGACACCTATATGATATGTATGAAAAACCGTTCACTGCTTCAATGTGCCTCTTTTTTTAAAAAAAAGATGTACTTATGCATACAGAGCTGGGGTACAGGCCAGAGGTGCAGAGGCGGTGAGAGAATTCACCAGAGACAGAGTGGGGTGCAGAACAGCCCGGCTGACAAGTACACTGCTGAGGGGAGCAGCAGAGGGTCAAGAGAGGTCTGCTGTGCCATGTGGATCACCTCCCCGGCGGGGATCAAACTTATGATGAAGTGGCTTTAGCTTCTTAGTGCTGTGCTTTAACCAGCTGCACCACCAGAGAGGGCCCAAATGTGCCTCTTTTTGCATGTCTCACATCTATTACAACATAAGCTTCTTAGTATTAGGGGCACTGTCTTGCACATCTCTGCTTTCAATTAAATACAGTCACTGCGAAAGTTGAATGGAGTAAAAAACTTAGTAAAACATGATTCTTGCTTCAAAGAGGTTTACGAGTTTATGATCGGATAGAAAAATTACTAATGAGTTAAAAGCATAAACAGTGCTAGGGATAGCAAAAGGAACTGTATCCCACGCAACACCCGTTAGAAACATTCACTTAACATATTAGTCTGAGGAACTGATGGAGGCCAAGGGGAGAAGAGCGATTAAGAAGACGAGGGCAGATAGGCTACAGGAACAAGCTAAACATGAGATTTTCTTCCCTAGGCAACCGGATAGGAGTTTGACAGAGAAAGCCTAAGAAATAGGCGGCAGGGTCTTAAAGATCGGCTCGGTTGGGTGGTCCACCCGGGACCGGTTTGGAGTATGCCAAGGAAAGAGGTATGCCAAGGTAAGATCCAACTGGAAAACGGTTCAGCACAGTACCTTTTTCATTGCGAACTGGGACGGCCCCAGCCGTAGATTGAATGGGCGGTTGTTTCATGAGTGCGCTTGGTACCGACATTTTCACGGCTGACGAAGTGACTCCCGAACTTGACTGACTTCAAAGATGAACCCCGAAAACGTGAACAGAAGGAAACTCTCCTATACCTACGGCCACAGGATATGGGTACGCAACTGATGGAAACACCACCTACAACTGAGCTAGAGAAACCGGATATATGCAGCCAGAGGATTGTGGGATTGTGGAGGACGTCTCGGTACCTTCCGCGAGAACAGCGAGTTCATGTTACTGCGCATGCTCATGGGCGGTTCTCCAGTTCTATACCTCGCTTTCGTTGGAAAACGCCTGTGGCGGGGAATTTCCTAATTTGTGTTCTGTTAAGGCGAGGAATTAAAGGTATCCTGTTAGTTTGGCTTGAAGATTAGGGAAATAGGATAGCTAGAAATAGTAAATTGAGGAGATAGGCTATTTGTATAGAGTATTGAACGTTCAGAATTCGATGTTTATTTTTCAAAACCGATAATCATATATGGGTATTTGAAGAAACCATAGTGACACTTTACAAGTATTCTAGGAAATTTCAGCAGTTAATACATGGAAAGGAATTTATTGTCAATCAGCTAGTCAAACTAGTAACCTCATTTGTCCAATTTATCTACCTTACTTTGCAAGTGATCTCTTTACCTAGAGCAGGGATGGGATAAGACTAGAAGGATCACATATGATTCTAATGGTAGTCCAACAGCATCTTAGAGGTTTTAAAATTTCATATGTAAAAGGCAGTGCTTGTTATAGGGTATAATTGTAATTTTAATAAATGATCATGATTGTTTACACATTTTTTAATACACTCATGGATTGATATTTATGCTTTGACCACTGTGAAACAAAGACTCATTAAAAAGAATCTTTCCCTCTTTGCTTACACTGAATTTTGGCTGTTGTAGATCTTTCGTGATTTCTGTTTTGAGATCAGGGGCTGATGCTGTGGTAAAGCTGCAGGTTTCTGTAAAAAGTCCCGAAGCAGGGCCTCCCTGGTGGGCAACAGGTTAAGTCAAGCATTATCAAGCTTTTGCCAGCCACTGCAACATAAATTCCATCCCTGGCCAGGGGTCTAGCCCACATGGAGCAGCAGACTTCTCCCATCCTCCCTGCTGCTCCCCTTAGCAGTGCATCTCAGTATGTCTGGCTCTTCAGCTCTCCATTTTGTCTCTGGTGAAACCTCACACCCTGACACTCTGGCCTACACCCCAGTTCTTGTACACATAAATATGTAAAAATAAAAAATATTTAAAAATCCTGAAGCAAGTCTCTTTTTATTACCGTCAATAAATAATGGACAAGTCAAAACAGTCATACTTAATCCCCAATTTGTTCAACATCTGAGTGAAGTCAGATGTTGTGATGTGACTGACACTCTGGCAGAGGCATCCAGGGGTAAGCAGAATTCATTACTTTTTTCATAGCTTGTTTCAGCCATCATCTTGTTCATGACATAAGAATAATGAAGGTCTTAGTTAAGAGACTATGGAAGAATTTCAGGGTATTTGGATTGTCTTTACATGAAATGGGCATCAGAAGCATATGAATAAAATCCCACTTCCAAAGTTCCTTTTTGTCTATCACTTTGTCTTGGTATTCAGATGATGTTTCCTTGTGCCAGATGATGTTTATGACATTTTCTAGTTTTTGAAGTTTTGGCTGCAAACTCTTTACCTTTGGCAGTTTGTTCAACATGTGATTCAACAATATTGTTGATATGAACACCTGGATATTGATTGAGCCTGCACTTTGTAGAAAATTTGAAATTAAATTTCACCTGCACCTGCTTAAAATCTTAATTTCTGTTTTGTGTCTTCAATCCTTGCTATTATGCCTGGCAGCTTCTTGTCCATTAATTCTTGCATGCATTGGTATTACATGGAATGGCTGAGAGATCTCCAAAAAGATTAATTATTTCTGCTGTGATCAGAAAACAAGTTCTTCCTGAAAATGCTATATTTTTCTGTAGAGTTTGAGTTTATATGGGAATAGAAATCTTGTTAATATTTTATTAACTCAGTTGATGAGGTTCAGTAGGGTAACATCTTTTGGTTATGCAAGGGCAGGTGGTATTGGCTTAAATCAATGGAAAAAAACAGTATCCCTCACTGGTTTAGGACTAGGACAATGCCTGAAATCCCTACTTCATTTATTTAGGCTTTTGAGATATTTTAGTTTTTGTAGACTGCCTTTCAAAACATTCCTGACTGGAAAGTGTTTGTATATAAGTCTATAATAAATTATTGAGTACATGCTATCTACTGTGCTTGGCTCTCTAAGGAGTGTGGACATTGTTAAAAGGCCAGTGTCCTGTAGAAGTTTAATTTTATTTTGGAAATCTTCAAGAAAGTACAGAATCATAATAGAAGTAACTGCAGTTACTAGCTGGGTTGTGTGAAAAAAAAAAAAAAAAAGTTGGCCAATTGAGTCAGAACGTATTTCACTGTAAACAGAATTTTATAATTGTTGTGGTGAGGGAGAGAAGGGACAGGAGAGCAAAGTGTGGAGCCTAGGAATAGCACAGTTTATATTAGGTACTCTGAAGTTTAATGTTACCAGTAATTTTTGAGTCAAGGAATGATTAAAGTTCGAAGGTACGGGATCAAAGGAGGTCTTGAAGCTGCTGTTAATTGGATTAATCCTCAAATGGCTTCACCTGTGTTCTAAAATTGAGCCTGGGCTGGGAGGCTTGGGAGAGCGAATGAAATTAGAAAGGAACTGAACAAGAGACTGGAAAACCGAAGTTCGGAAGCGCTAGTTTTTCAAAGCGAGATTATTAGCACAGCAGCACTAAAAATGACAGCGCTCCAAAGTAAAAATGTCGACTTGTCCTAGCGCATCCTCAAAAAAATATATACTTTAATCTATGTTAGTAGCAAACTTGTAGGAACAGCACCGAGGACAGGTAGCATTAAAACCATGCACTTGCATTAGCATACTAAAAGTTTTGAATGTGGGGTGAGGTTGGTAACCTGCCCCTTTAAGAGACGCCAGTTATAGCCGCCGCTCCCTGTACGGACCCGCGCCTTCTCCTGGACCCGCCCCCGGCTCCACCCACTCCGGCCGCCCGCTGCGAGTTTGGCGGGAAGGAGCCGGCTGCTTGAGCGGTGAAAGATGTCTGGGTCCCGCGCTGCGGCTGAGGAGAAGGGGGACTTCAGACAGACGGTCCAGGTGGAGGTGAGCTAGGTCGCGTTCGGGTGTGCCCGTCTCCATCTGGGTGAGGGACAAGCCGGGCACTGGCTCGTGAGGGCACCGTGAGGGCACCGGGGGAGCTCGGCAACTCCCTCACTCCAAAACTACTTCCCCGGCTGTTACTTCGAAAGTTAAGTGTAGATTCCTGCCCTGGTTTTCCTCAATGGGAACTAGCCATTCAGCGTTGTGGTAGTTTCTTATTCCAGAAATAGTGATCCCCAAGATGGGATCAGGGACTCTTCAATTGGCTTTTGCGATGATTATTGGCAGCTGGCCGCAATTTAAGCAATTCCAGTTACTCAAGCTGAGGGGTTCTGGCCGGTTGATGAGTTTCACATGGTAGGTATCGCCTGCAAACTTGTAAGGGCCAGAAATATGCCCAGAATAATTCTATTTGGCTAATGAGTTAGGTATCTAGATTTTGGAGGGGAAAGAAAAAAAGTTTCCTTTCAGGTTTACCAGCTTGGGCATGTTTAGTCACTACGAAGTAGAAATTAGAGATGTATTTACACAGCTCTGTAAGTACTGGCAGAGACCCTGGGATTCTAATCCTGTGTTTTGTTTTCTTGACCGGAATAGGTGAATGAATGTAAGGAAAACCAAAACATCACTCGAGTGTCTGTGAGTCCAGTCCAGGCTACTGTTTTAGGGAAAACAGCTAAGGTGTGTCTTGTCCCCTTTTCACTCAGTAATTACAAGCTAGGCCAACTTAAGTACCTCAAAACCCCATTAGAAAAGAATTCTAACTATGAAGTGGTGTGTAAGAAGTGTAAGAAGACTGCAATTAAGAAAACTTGCGGAAGGATTTTGACCCCAAGGATGGAAGCCACATCTTCCAAGGCAGAAGCCATGCTGCAAAAATCATCCTTAGATGTTCATACTGGAAGCAAAAAGCAGCACTCGGACACAGTGATTTTCGGTGTTGATATGGAAAGCAGTCAGGATGGAGACAGTGATGAAGATGACACATCAAGCCTGGTAAGAATTTAATTACTAAGTACAAATTTTTCTTCTCTCTCTCTCTCTAAGAATTTAATTACTAAGTACAAATTTTTCTTTTCTCACACATTCTCTCTCTCTCTCACCCCCCACCCCCCAACCCCTTCCCCTCATTGTTCTCCAACACCTGTCCTTTACCTCTTATCTCTCATTGTTTTCTCATTTCCCCTCTGGGATTACTCAATTTTAAAATTACAGTCCTGGGTTTATTATCACCCTAGATGCAGAGTCTGTGGTTGAAACATGTTCAGGTTTTTCTTATTTTAAAAATTTGAAGTTCTGATAAGCCAAGGTTATTAGAAAACCTCTCCAGTTGACATATCTTATTATCTACTCTGTTTAATTGAACTTTTATTTTTTAAATGTTTAACAGATAAATGCCCTGGGTTTATTTTTGCACAGGTTTTGACTTGTCAAGGAGCTTGTCTTCACTAAGCTTCCCTTTTTCTTCCTCTCAACTTATTGCATATATAGTTCCAGTTTACGTAAATACTTGATGGCATTTTCCTCACCTCTACATGTTTATGCACAGTATGCCAGAAATACTTGGTCTGTAAGATAGGGCAGTTGAGTGATCCATGTTAGGGTAGGGAAACCATCCTTGGTCTATTGCATTGATATGCTGATTAATATTTCCTTTAAATACAAAAAGCAACAAAAGATGGAGTAAACGAAAAACACTTATTAGTTACTATTTAAAAATAAAGTAGGGGGCTCTGGTGGCACAGCGGGTTAAAGCACAACACTAAGAAGCTTAAGCCACTTCAGCATGAGTTCAGTCCCCACCTGCCCCTGAGATGATCCACATGGTGGGGCAGACCTCTCCTGACCCACCCTCTGCTCCCCTCAGCAGTGTACTTCTGTACTTCGTAGATCTGCCTGTTCTGCTCCCCACTCTGTCTCTGATGAATCCTCTCATCCTCCGCATCTCTGGCCTGTACCCCAGTTCTGTATGAATAAATAAATAAATCTTAAAAGAAAAAGTAACAGGATATTTTTTGGAGGGGGAAGTCTTAACTACTTATTATATTCATAAGCCAAAATTTGGGAGACAGCAGTTGGTTGAAGGAAATCGTGTTCCCAAATCTGAGAACATGGTAGACTACTTTCACAAAGGCCTTCACTCTGGACTTGGGGAAAAGCAGGACTTTATATGGGAGAATACTAAGGAAGGGAATGTCTCAGGGAGCAATGGCTTGGGATCCATGGTGGCTGGTTGCGTAGTGGTGAAAGAATTCATCAGAGATGGGTGGAGAGCAAGAAAAGTGGATTTATTGAATATCTTGCTGACAGAAGCAGTGGGCGAGATGGGGATATTTGCACTGAGGAAGGGTTTGAAGCTCTTGTACTCTTGTGGGCTTTTTCAAAGACTCAGATAACCCATTTTCACAACCATAGGGGTTCCTGTCAGGATTAGCCTGGTATTCCTGGAGTTTGCACTTTCCTTTTTTGGCTACAGGTAATGTTTTTATGGCTTGGTTCTCTTATTATTATTTTAAAAGATTTATTTATCTATGCATACAGAACTAGGGTACAGGCAGGGGTGGCTAGAGGATTCATCAGAGGCAGCAGTGGAACACAACAGGCAGATTGACAAAGTGCACTGCTTGGGGGAGCAGTGGGTAGGTCAGGAGATGTCTGCTGCCCCATGTGGATCAGCACCCAAACCCTGGATTGAATTCTGTTTGAAGCAGCTACCAATAGCTTTGCAGTGCTGTACTTTAACCCTTGTGCCACCAGGGAGGGCCATGGCTTGGTTCTCTTTATTCAACACTTTTAACTTTGCTGAGCAAAGTAGGGGTTGAATTTTAATACCATTAAATGATACTCCCACATTTCCCTTTCTTGAGAGGACAATGAAAAGTTTTTGGAAATGGGGCCAAAATCTGGCTCCTATAATTGCTTCAATCTGAATTTTAATACATTTAGGTTGCCCACCTGTCATCTAGGGAAAGTGAGGAATGAAGTGTGAGAGCAAATGAAACAGTTGTGTCTGGGCGTTCAGACCAGGGAACTAATTTTATTTGCTGTTTTTTGCTCTGAGAGTTATGGAAAGTGCCAGTTGTCTAAAATGGACTGCCAGAGCATCCAGGTCCAGGTATTCTGCAGTCTTTAGCCCCTGATTCTCTGACTGGGAACTGTAATTTGATGGGCTATAACTGTGATAAAACTAAAGGGAGAAAAAAAGGTTAAAAGGTCCAAATATCAAAGGAAGGGGTTAGTCAACTGAGTTTCAATTGGGTGTGGGGAGTTGGGGGTGCTGTTTGTTGCAAACCTCTATACCTGAGGGTCTTTGGTGTCTCTAAACAGAATAAAGACACTAACAAAGCTTTAATTAGGAAGAAGTGAGAACACTGTAAGAGGCAATGGGTGGTCCAGAACACAGGAGAGCTGTGGAGCAATAAAGTAAAATAAAGTAGGGTTTTAAAGTTTTTTTTTTTCTTTCTGGTGAGAACAGGTCCCTCTCAATTGTGCATACCGTGCTCCCATCACTTCTGATTCCAGACTAATTGGAACTACTACTCCTTTTGTTGATTGGGAGGAAACCATAGTTCACACTTTTCCTAGGCTTCCCAGACCTTATCAGGTCCTTGAAACAAATCAATAGCTCCATCTGGTCTCTGGGATTGAAGAAATGCATCTGTTCTCTCAGGAAATGCGTGAGACACTTTATTTCTAACATTCCCTTCTCAGGAATCTTTTGGGGGGTCTCAAGGGGCTATGTCTAATTTTCTGAAAGCTACTTTTCTGTTGGGAATAGGCAGTGTCCCCACCTATGGGCCCTACTCTGAGGTCCCTAGGCTTTCTGTAAGATTTTGATTGAAGTAATAGGCAGTCAAATCAGTTCTCAAAGGGTGGGGTTTGAAGGTGTTGCTGGACAACTGTGTATGCTACACGTCCTGGAAAAAAATCTTAACTTAAAATGTACAGTCCAAAAACTAAACCTAAGATGACCATTTTGTAAGTTTCATGAATTTGGTATTTCTTTAATTTTAACGTTTTTAAGACAAGGAACTTACTTTAGAAGCAAGTGCCAAAGATTGAAGGAAGTCAGCATATTCTTCTAACAGTAGCCATAGGCCTGAATAAATCCGTTAATTTATCCAAAACAATTAGAAATGGCTTTATTTACATTAAGAGTCTAGAGCTAGGATTTTGTTTTTTCATGTCTTCCACCTTTGGGATGCCACTTTCTGTCCCCGTGTATTTAGTTTCCAGTCAACTTTGGCACGTAGCTCAAGGTTGTCTTTATAAATCCAAGCTTCGGAGAAAAAGTTAGGTAAGATTTTTGTGTGTATACTTCTTAAGGTCTGAGAAAAATATAACAACAATTTAGTCTCCATTACATCCCCCCCTACTTTAAGTGTAGTATTTTTTTAACCTTGAGGAATTTGGGGGTTATGACTTATCTGGACAAATATTTTTAAACTATATTCTTTTATGTAAAGGTTTATTTATGTAGATAGAACTGGGGTTACAGGCCAGAGGTGCAGGGGCAGTTAGAGGATTCACCAGAGACAGAGTGGGGAGCACAACGGGCTGATTGACAAAGTACATTGCTGAGGGGAGCAGCAAGTGAGACAGAGGTCTATCAAGCCATGTGGATTACCTCTCTGGCTGGGGACCGAATAGTGCTTAGGTGGCTATGGCTAGCTTCATAATGCTACTCTTTAACCTGTTGTGCCACCAGGGAGGGCCCCAATCGGGACAAATTTTAAGTTTTTTTTTTTTCCGCAATGTAGAAATTCAATTATTAGATTATTTTATATAGCTAGTTTTTTGTTCATGAAATATCCAGTCTAGTTTACAGGTTGAAAAAAAAAAAAATTAGAAACCTGGGCTTCCCTGGTGGTGCAGGAGTTAGACAGTACTATCAAGTCTATCAAGTGCTATCAAGAACCCATTGCAGCTCAAAGAGTTCAATTTATACTCCTGCTATGAGTGAAACCATCCAGTATTTTTCTTTCTGGCTTATTTCACTAAGCTCCATTCATGTTGGTGCAAAAGGCCTGGGTTTACCATGCCAGCAAAAAATTACCATTCTCATTCTCGATTCTTTGTGATTTTTTTTTTCTTCCTCTGCAAGCTTTTAGATAGTCTCAACTCATTTTACCTCAAGTGTTAAATTTTGTGATGGTGTTCTTAGAATTGGGATTATTTATTCACTGTTAATGTCTTTATTGGGCCATTTTAATCTGGAACCTCATTGTTTTGAGAAATACTTTCTATTATTTCTCTCATAATTTACTTTCCCCTCCCACTAGTTACATGTTAGACCTCCAAGATTGATTCCCTAGTTTGTATTTCCTGCCATGTATTTTTTCTTTTTTTTTGGTGTGTTCTTTCTAAATTTCCTTAACTCTTTCAATGAATTAAAAAAAATCCTGTGGCCCTCCCTGGTGGCACAGCGGGTTAAAGCACTGCACTAAGAAACTTAAGTCACTTCCTCATGAGTTTGATCCCCGCCTGCCCCGGAGGTGACCACATAGCGCAGCAGACCTCTCCTGACCCACCCCGCTGCTCCCCTCAGCAGTGTACTTTGTCGATCTGTCTGTTCTGCTCCCCACTCTGTCTCTGGTGAAGCCTCTCACCGCCCTGCACCTCTGGCCTGTACCCTAGTTCTGTATGAATAATAATAAAAAAAAAATTCTGTTCTTGTTTTGTTTAAAAAGAAAAAAACTTGTATAATGGTACAACTAAGAAACAGTAGTAATTAATTTTTAGTTACAATAGCAAATATTTTTCCTATTGACTTGTGATTGATAATCCTACATTCAAATTTTTACTCGCTGTTGAATTCTGCAAAGATTATGTGCTGCTTGAAATGGTAACATAAAATGAATAGAGGAGGTACAATCTGAAGGAAGGTACATGCAGAGACCTAACCTATTTTGCAATGGATAATAAAAAGTAATAATTATTTTCTTGTAATTTTGCAGGATGAGTTTTCAGAATTATCACCATATGAACGGAAGAGACTGAAGAACATATCAGAAAATGCAAATTTTTTTGCTTCTCTTCAATTATCTGAGGTGTGTGTGGTGTTTTTAAGTTAAAACATTCAAGGCCTCCCTGGTGGTTGGTGTATGGGTTAAGTCTCAGCACACTATCCTTGCTGAGGCCTGAGTTCCATCTCGGCCAGGGAGGTGCCCCACATGGCATGGCAGACCTCTCTTGACCAGCCTGCTGTTTCCCTCAGCATTGTATTTCAGTACATCTACCTGTTCTGCTCCCCACTCTGGTGGGTGAATCCTCTCACCCCCACATCTGTGGCCTGTCCCCCAATTCTGTATGTATAAATAAATTAAAAAAAAATTAGACAAGTTTTTCACTTAAAAGAAATACATTACTATATTATTATTTTGATTTCAAGGCTTTTTAATTGTGTTTAAAAATTGGCATCATAAAACTAATTCATATTTTTCTCTTTTTGGGTGGTTTGTAAAATAATGTTGCCTATACTTGGTTGTCTCGTAATCAAAGATCAAGGGTTTCTGCCAAGTGGTTGCTTTAATTAAAGGTTAAAAAACTGGGAGTTTGGGTTGAAGGATGTTTGACAGAGGAGTGAGAAGAGTGCTTTTTTTCTTAAAATTTTTTGTTAAAGGTTTATTTATGCGTAAGAACTGGGGTACAGGCCAGAGATGTAGGGGTAGTGAGAGACACTGGGGAGCAGAACAGGCAGATTGATGAAGTATGATGCTGAGGAGAACAGTCAGGAGAAATCTGCTGCACCATTTTTTTTTTTTTTAAATCTTTGGCTGAATAGGTTGGAATACTTTGTATGGGAACTGTAAGGATAAATGACCAGACATATGCTAATATTTTATAATATAAATTATAGCTATGGGTACTTTCCATTGGTGTCTTCACACTGGGCGAATAACTTTCACATGTGAAACAGTAGCTGTATAGTAGTGTTATGTGCCTTTCCTACTCCTAAAATACCAATCCTTAGTTTTACTACATTTAATATTTAAAAGGAAAGCTATATAGTTATACTATTTCTGTGTGTTTAAATATTTTGCAGTCTGCTGCAAGACTGCGTGAAATGATAAAGAAGAGACAACCTCCTGAATCCAAAAGGTAAAAGGATTGATTTACAATGACTTCACCATGATATATTGTTGATTTGTTTTATAATTTAAAAAATTTTTTGCCATTGTAAAGTAATGGGATCAGAAACTAATCAATCCTCATAGCTTCTTTGAAGGTGTTCTACCTTTAAATAACTTCAAAGTTCTCATCTTCACCAAAGGACTATAAAGGCAATAGAATCTCCTCAACTGAATTTTGTTTATATTTACAGTTGCTGCAAGTAGAGGGAAATATTTAACTTCTACTGAGTTATTCTTGGTTTTGACTGGAAAACAGTTATTAAATAATATACTTTTACTGTTTTGGAGCATTTAAGTAATTTCCCTATCTTAGCTATTGTGAATAATGCTGCAGTAAACAGAGAGGTGCAGGTTTTCCTTTCACATTTGTGTTCTTAGGGTGCATGCCAAGGAATGGAATCACTGGGTTATATGATAGCTCCATTTTTAGTAATTTGAGAATCTTCAACTCTGCCTTTCATAGTGCCTGGACCAGTTTGGATTCCCCCCATCAGTATAAAAGGGTTCATTTTGCTCCACATCCTCTCCAACATTGTTGTTGCCAGTTTAATATGGGCCATTCTCATTGGTATGAGCAAATATCTCATTGATGGTTTTGATTTTCATTTCCCTGATAATAAGTAATGGTGAGCATTTTTTTTTCATATACCTCTTGGCCATTTGCATTTCTACTTTGGAGAAGTCATTTTAGCTCTTTTGCCCACTTTTTTCCCTTAAATTTTATTTATGCATACAAGAATTGGGGTGTAGGCCAGAAATGTGGGGAGAGGGGTGAAAGGATCACCAGAGACACAGTAGGGAGCAGAATACATATTGACTGAAATACACTGCTGAGGGGAGCTGTGGGCAAGACAGGAGAGGTCTATTGTCCATGTGTGTTATCTCCTTGGCCTGGGATCAAATTCATGTTGAAGTGGTTGGCAATTGCTTGATAGTGTTGTCTTTAACTCCTATGCCACTCCTAGGCCTTCTTCTGCCCTTTTTTTAACTGGATTGTTTTGTTTCTGTTGACTTGTGTGAGCTCTTTCTAGATTTTTGAACTCAGTCTCTTTTCAGTTGTATGGAGTACTGATATTTTTACCCAGTTAATAGGGCGTCACTTCACTTTGGTTATTGTCTTTTGCTGTACAGAAGCTTTTTATTTTGATGTATTCCCAGCTGTTTATCTTATTTCTTTGTTTCTGGAAATGAGTCCTCAAAGATGTTTTGGAGGTATATGTCATGGAGTGTTTTGCCTTTTTTTTTTTTTTTTTTCTATTTTATGGTTTCACATCTTACCTATCCATCTTGAGTTGAATTTTGTGTCTGGTGTGAGGTAGTAGTCTAGTTTCATTATTTTGTATGTAGTGATCTAGTTTTCCCAGCCCATTTATCAAAGAACATCTTTGTTCCATTGCATGTTCTTTGCTCCTTTGTCATAGATTAGTAGCTTTACTTGTGGGTTTTCAGTAGTTGTACTTGGTTTTGCAATGATAAATGAAAAACATTAAAATTCTGTGGAGTAGAAAGGCAAGGGTCTAGGTACTTATCTTTGAAACTCAAGTGTCACTAGCTCTAAGAAAAGCCCTTGCTGGGCTCTCCCTGGTGATCCAGTCGGTTAAACGGCAGCACTGTGAAGCTATTTGCAGCCTCTGCAGCCACTGCAGCATGAGTTTGATCCCAGGCCAGGGTAGACATCTCCTGACCTGCCAGCTGCTTCCCTCAGCAGTGTACCTCAATCAATCTGCCTGTCCTGTTCCCCACTTTGTCTCTGGTGAATCTTCTCACTGCCCCCCACACCTCTGACCTGTACCCCAGTTCTAGTATGCATAAATAAATAAAATCTTAAAAAAATCTATAGAGGAAGGTATGCAAGAATTCTTATATTTTGTTGTTGTTAAGCATTGAGAAGAAAACAAATAACGAATATAAAAAGCTAAATGAGCATGACACTAGTGGAGAAAGGGGTAATTTTCACAGATCAGTGTTTTTCCTCATTCCATCTCCATTTGCTGTCAATCAAAATATAACATTGGCCATTTAGTTAAGGGGGGGGGAAGCATGCTTGTGCACATAAATCAGTTACTTCATTTACAATAAAGGAAAAGAGAAGGTGAAAATGAAAGAACAGTGAAAACTTTAATAGGTTATATTGGAAACAAATTGCTGTTTCTATTTTTGTTTAATTTTTATTTTATGTCTGTTAATTTTTGGATAGTATTTGATTTTGCCACTCAGGTGTAGTTCCTGTGGTTCTTCCTCTACCATAACACCCATGATTCATCACCACAGCCCCTGTGTTCTTCCCTCTCCTGTTCTCCCTCTACCTTCCCTGTTATAAACCTCAGATCTATGGTCAGTTTGCAGGTTTTGTCCTTTTTGCTGACTACTTTGTTTTCTCAAGGTTCCACATCTAAGTGAAACCATCATGTTTAGTCTTTTTCTCTTTGGTTCCTTTCCAGTTCATCCATGTTGCTGCAAATGGCATGAAATTAAAATATTTCATTGTGTATGTATGTGTATACACACACATATGCATATATATGTATATCACATCTTCTTGATCAAATAATCTGTTTTGGGGCATTTAGGTTGTTTTCATATCTTGGTAATTGTATAAAGTACTGAAAGTGCTGAAGTAAACATAGGAGTGAAGGTGTCCTTTTGAATTAGTGTTTTTGTGTCCCTTTGGGTAGACTCTTAGGAGTGGAATTGCTGGATCATATGGCGGATCCATTTTTAGCGTTTTGCGTAATCTCCACAGTTTTCCACAGTGGCTGGACTAATTTACATTCCCATCAGGAGTGTAAGTGTTCCTTTTTCACCACAACCTCGCCCAAATTGCTGTTTGCTAATTGAAACTATTTTCTGTATTTCTTGGTTTGGAGGAAAAGAGTTCTGGAGTAAAGTAGGATGCTTCCTTTCTAATAGATACCCCCTACTGCTGCTGGAACTTGTCAATTGTATTTATTTTCCTCCATTTCCAATTGTGCAGGTTTCATGGATTGGCTGCTTGTCAAATTGGAACTGATCTGTTCATTGACAGATCCTATTTATGGGCTTTCATTAGTTTTCTCAGTGGTGTATACCTATTAATTAATCTTCAGTTGTACCATAGAACCACCCTGGCTCATGACCTCCAAATTAACATCATGTAATGTTAGCAGTCTTAAATTTCCTTGAATTTTGGTGAGTCAGGTCTCCTCAGCAGCTGATTTACGAAGAGGTACTGTTATAGGGCAGAGATAGGGATACAACTGAAACCCCAAACCTGCCTGCTTTAAATAAATTGTGCCATCTGCCGCATCAAGACAAACATATAAGACCTTTAATGGAAAGGAACTTTACTACAATTAGTGTGCAATACAGAAAAGACAAGTATATAGTTTCTAAATCAAACACCCAGAGTTGCCCATCCCCTCGTAGGTAAAAGGCATTGACCCAAAGCAGGCCCTGAAAACCCACCACAAGTGTATAGCACCTTCCAGCAGGGACTGATGAAAAAGTGTCTGCCTAACTTTTTTTTTTTTTTTTTAATTTTATTAAAAAGTTTATTTTTACATCATTTTGCACATTTTCTTTTCATCTCAATTGTAATCCC